AGCTCTATTTCAAAAGAGAGAAAAAATATTTAACTCAAAATTCAAAAAATATATTAGAAGTCTATCACTGATACTGTATGTTGTCTGTGATGGATGTTGAAAACAGTATGGGCCCTACCTTCCCTGCCCAATCACCAGACTACTTTAAGCTGCCAGTAGGAGACTGTGGGTGGCTTCAGCATCACAAATCACTGCTCCAAAGTTTCTAGCTGGGAATTATGAGCATCCCCCAGGATGGACAGAGTTGTCAGAACAGGCATGTCCCCCTGTTCCTTTTATCCTCTTCTACCCACCCCTGTTTTTCCTGTTACAATCACCAGGGAAGTCTTTCCATACTGTTGCATGAAAGAACCTGGAAAATATGAGCAGAGCATAACTCGATGCTGAGTTGCCTGTTCGATTTGGCAAGGCACCTGAAACAATAGCTCGAAGATCCTCTACCCCTGGCCCCTTTACCCACCTCAGGCAGGAATTTTAATCCTGTAGGGAAGGGGCAGCCTCTCCCTGCAGGACACCGTGGAAAAGGTTGACACAGGCTGTCCTAAAAGATCATAATACTGTTCTGTTTTATTACCAGTTGGCATCAATTAGCTTGCTACTATCCTCTTTCTGAATCGTCTCGACCAAGGAATCTCTGTTAGTGATTTATACTTGGCACTTCCATGATAAAAGTTTTTCTACTCTAACTCAGCATGAGTAAGAATTCTCTCTTCTTCATGCCAGCTTCACTGAAGCGTCTCACCTTCCTGCTTCTGCCTCTCTTTATAGTAAATGCCGTGGGAGAGGCGAATGGAGGATCTTCATGCCAGTAGCCTGTCTGCTATTCTTCCACCACCAGTGCTCAGTCTGTCATCTTTCCTGGTGGCAACAAACATGTCACCATTAAGAGGAATTGCTCTGGGGTCAGATCCTCCTAACCTCCAGCTTTACTGGCTTCAGTGAGATGTGTTATGCCAGCTGAGGATCTGTTGCTCCAGGAAAACAAGGCCCATCAGAAAGACTGCACAAGAAGGAAAAACAGGGTTTCTTAAAAGTTTAGCTAACACTGCTTTAGCTAAAGCCCACCAGAGCCCAATTTCTGAAGTCTTATGGCACGTAAATCTTGGATTAACTCAATATTCAGTAGGGCTTTGCAGTCCACTCATTACACTTTCCAGTTAAGTGTGAAGAATTGGGTCTCTCATGAGCCTCTTTTCAGCGTTTCTCCAAAGCTCTGGATATCCTTCTCCAGTGTGGGATTTGCAGGAGACGCATTATGAGCAGGACACTAATCTGCTCCTCCACTGCAGCATGTGGGGAAGGGAATCTCAGGCGGACTCCTATGGCATTTGATCCCTATTTCTTCCCTAGGATAACCCACTGGAGATGCCAAGGTGCAGCCATTTTAGCCCAGACCCCAGTATTTAACCACTAGAAACACTCTGGTGTCAAGTTTTCACAGATGTTTTTCAGTGGAAGAGTATATCCTAGATCCTAAACTAACTCAAGAAGCTGAGGCAGTATAGAAAACCACTGCTGCCAGTCATTGGTCTCTGGGAATTTATATCCAACTCAGGAACCATGACAGAGGGAAAGCTCAGTCTATTAAGGAACCATGGTGAGCACATTTTTAGTTTCCATGTTCACTCTCTTAATTTGTTTTAATGCCTGAGAGGTCTTCTGTTTGCAACGCAGTGCAGGCTTCTGGCTAGAAGAAACCATTAACCATGTCTGGCTGCCTCCAAGCAAGATGGAAACAGAAAGGTACGGAAGGAAGATTAAGATCAAATCCCTGAACATAAAAGGAAATTTAAATCAAAAAAATTGAAAAGTGGAACAGCATGCTTCATCTCTATCATTGATAAAATATTTTGCAATCTTGAAAAAATTAATAGCTTCTTTGGCATAATCTTTATGGCCTTAAAGGGGTGATAAGGAAGGTAATAAAAAACTGTTTCTGAAAGGTTATGCGTTTTCCTAGTCAACTCAGTTTTTCCTTCTCACCTCCAAGGCTAACATTCAAAAGGAAGCTTGGCACATATGAGCTGTGTCGGAACTTGGAAGCTGTTTATTTAGTTTTTCCCAGGATACTACCTATGCAACCTTTCAGAGCAGGGCAAGAAAGGGAGCCCTGTGGAGTGGCAACGGCGTCTGAAAAGTGGAGGGTGCATAACTCAAACCGTTCAAGTTTATTAAAACAAAATAGGTCAGTGGAGTTGCCCAGAGGGTTACATAAGGTGGAAAGTAGCACTCCACAGGAGAGGAGAAGGGAGCCTGTTAAAAGGCAAAGCCACTCCAGTTTGTTTATGGCCGGAGATAACTGTCTTGTGGTGTGTCTGCTCTCCATAGCTGACAGAGTAAATCACGCTCTTTATCTCCACAGCAGATGAGAATTTGGACTGGGCTGTTGTTTTGTGAGCTGCGGATTAAAGCAAATGGAGCTGTTATTTATTATTATGACTAGCATTATTATTTTGTTCCTGTGATCCCTGCATTTCAGTCTCTATGTAAGGAATTTCATCACTCGCCAACAGCTTGCTTGCAGGGAATGTTAGGGATCATAATAACAGTGCGGATAACAGCTTGATCCACCTGAAAAGAGTATATAAGAAACGTGGGTGTGCAGTTGTTTGCAGCCAAGGAAAACAGGTAAATGTGTTCTGGGATCCTGCAGAGCAAAGCTGGGAGCTGACACTCTCAACCCGACCTGGAGGTCAGCACAAAGGCTGATATGACATCTGGGAATGTGGAAGCGCACCGTGGCCTGCCGATGCACCTGTGCCAGCACCACAACCTCTATTCTGCCCGTCCCTCCTGTGCTGGAAATCCAGCTTTATATCCTAAACGTCACCCACCCTGTCCTGGCTCCCCGGCGCTTGGCATAGATGGGACAGGGAAGGCCTCTCCTGCAGAGATGCAGGGCACCCTGCAGCTCTCACACCTCAGTGAGGGTACTCTCAGTTTCGGGTACCCAAATCCCAAGCCACTAGCAGCAGTATTCATGCTTCAGAACTGGAATCCTGTCGACCCTTTTCATGCCTCCTCCTTGGCTCCTTTTCTGTAACCTCAACTCAGTGACAGGGGAGAACTGCTTGTATTCAGAGCTCTCCCCAAAATCAGGTAGAACCCAGGTCTCATGAAGATCATACGATTAGAGAGCACCTGATACCACAGAAAGCACCAACACTATTTTCCATGTTTTTCAGGTCTGTAAGAATGAATGAGAGCTCTTTGCCTGTGTTCAGATTGATCCAACGACACCTGCCACCGACTGAATGGGCCATGACCAAGGAAGCATCTCAGCAGCTCCAGGAACAGGCCCCTGGGAGGAAACACAGACTGCATGCCACCGAGCTGTTTGCAGAGAGCTGGTCAGAAAAACAAAGGAGCTTTTTCTTCCATGGGAAAATGCTGAGTCATTAAAACCCACATTTTTCATAGGGGCACATCAGTTTTCATGACATTTCCAGAAAAAAAGTCTCTCTGACGCAGGATAGAAAGCAGGTTATTTTTATTTTGGGGGAAGGCAGAGAGTTGAAGGAGACAGGTGGGGAAAAGAGGCTATAGCCATATTCAGTCCACGGGACAAGCAGTGTGAGACACAGTTCAAGTTCTGCTCCACCTGATCCAGAACCAGGGCTGGCTCTGCTCAGCTGTGTGCTCTGAGCAAACACCTGCGTGCTAGAGAATAGCTAGAGAGGACAAGAGGGAAGGTGTCTCTCCCTGTATAATTTTTGCAACACATGTTTGAAAAGGCCTGGGTTCACCCCATGTCAGAATAGCAGCTCTGGCACCCTGCAAACGTCTGTACATGAGGACTTGGCTCTCCTAGCCTTATCAATGGTTTCCATTCTTCTACACCTCCTCTGCACCCTTCCAGCTCACCAAGCAGCAGCAGCAGCCTCTGTGCCATACATCAGGGTCACATCCCTACAAGGACGCAATGCCCTGGGATAAGATGTGAGCCCTCTCCTCCAGTCAGAGCACCACTTCCTTTCTTGCTTGTGCAGAAACTTTCCTCTTTATCAGCCAAACTCTGCCACGCCAGCGTGGAGCAGGGTCTCAGCTGCAAGAGCACTGGCTTCCTCCGTGCTATGCTGATTTACCCCTGAGGAGGATCTGGGTATCTGGAGCACAGCAAGGATGCTCCCGCCCCAGCACTAGGCCCTTTCTGGAACGAGCCCACAAAAGCACTGCAAGTTCCTATCCCAACCTGTCAGAAACACGTCAAGCTGCTGCAATATCCACCTGGCACACGAACACTGCTCTTTAGGGCCACTGTCTTCCCCCGACAGGTCTGGCCCTGTCTCATAGGCCCTCACTGCTGGGTGAAATGCATTTTCTTTTGGCACACAGATGCCTTTGTTCAGCTGGCTCTGCTCTTTTCCAGGGATCATCCACAGCCCCTGCAGCTCTCACTCTGAGCTCTCTTCCTTTTTGGTGCCCCTGGAAGTGTGGCCTTTTCTGGTTCATTTACACCAAAGCACAATTCAAAAGGGACCTGGTGTGTACTTTTTTGGGGTGGGCCAGGCTCTGGCAAAGTGGAAATCCTCCTCTGGTGCAGCAGCTCTGTTCTCCTAACAGGTAGCCACTGCCAGTGAGTAGTACAAATATTCATTCCTCCCCGTGTGTGACTGGGAGGCTTAATTTCTGGGAGAGAAGAGCACAGCCTGACTTGTATGGTCCACAGTGTTACAGGCCTTTGAAACTCTGCATTTTCCAGTCCTTCAGCTTCTCACTGGCTCCAAGAGGCCAAAATTTAAAGCAGGTCTGTGCTCTAGTGAGTAACTGATGTAATTACGCTCACTTGTTACAAGGGGAAGCTTTCACAGGAGGGGGAGGCGGTGGACCCACGCCAGGAGGTGTGTCCCCGATGACAAGCTGCGGAGCCAATCACAGCCCTGAAAGATCATCACATTCATACCAAAAAGAAAAGAAACCGCCCCAGGGTATTTATATTGAGGGGAAAAAAAAAAAAAAAAAAAAAAAAAAAAAAAAAAAAAAAAGAGTTGGCAAAGAAAGAGAAAAAGAGAGTGAGAACCTGCAACTTTGTTAACTAACTCTGCAGCTGAATTCAAAAAGGCCAGGCTGGTTCCCCTACAAATCTTGCTTCCCATCCCCTCCCCTCTCTCAAAGCATCTCTGGGAATCTGTCTGTAAGCTGGAGTGAAAAGTTCAGCTGCTTGGAGTGGTCCTTCTCTCCTCCTGGCAGGCAACCCCGTAAGCCGCTGCCTACCCTGGGCAGAGCAGAGCTCGTCCTCGGTCTGGGCTGGGTGGGCAACGGTCCCCTGGCAGCTTTCTCTGGATACCGGCAGGGCAGTGAGCAGGACCAGCCAGGAGCCCCAGCGATTAATAATTACCTTCACAGCACCCAGCACGTCGGCGTGGGCTCCCAGCTCCCTGTATCTGTGTTAAACAGCTGGGGAAAGAGAAGGCAGGTTTAGCTTTAACCAAGGGGTAAACGGTCAGCATTTACAAATGCTGAACCACCAAAAACCGGCCAGCCACAGATTATTTATTCCACTTACTCAAGAGGACCGTGCGGTTCAAAGGATGAGGGGGCCCGTAGCAGCCTAGAAAGCATGTTTTCTGCCACTGGCCTGTTGGATGAACCAAGGGGAAAACAAAACAAAACAAAACAAAACAAAACACAAAGCTTCCTCTCCCTGAGCTGCATTTCTTTCCCGCTCGCCCTTTTTGCTGCCTTTTCCTGCTTGGACTGCCTGTTCCCCGGAGTACAGGCTGTCTCTGACCGCGTTTATGTGGAGCCGCGCACAATGGGGCTGTAATCTAACCCCAGTGCGAACGTACTGCCATCAATAATAACAAAACCGGCCATCCCACCCCGCGGCGGCTGCAGGCAGGCGGGGGACCGGGCGGCACAAGCCCCGCTGCCGCCGAAGGCCTCTTGGCCGGAGGGAGGCCGGTGTCCGAGGCCGTGCCGAAGGGCGCTGTGGCGGCCCCGGGGCGAGCCGCCGCCCCGCAGGGCCGGGGCCGGGGCCGGGGCCGGGGCCGGGGCCGGGGCCGGGCCGGGGCCGGGGCCAGGCCGGGCCGGGGCGGGGCCGGGCCGGGGCCGGGGCCAGGCCGGGCCGGGGCGGGCCGGGGCCTGGGCCGGGGCGAGGGGCGGCGCTGCCACCTGCCGGCAGCGGCGGCTCCGTGCGGGTCCGGCCGGGGGCCCCGGTCGGCGGGAGAGCCCACGGGCCTTGCGTGGGAGAGCGGCCACCCCCCGGGCGTGAAGCCGCCCATCCACCAGGCCCTGCCAGGAGCCGGGAGCGGGGCAGGGGTGGCCCCGCCGGGGAGGGAGGCAGGGCTCGGAGCCGCCCCCGGGCAAGGCGACCCCGGCCCGCCTCGCCTGTGAGTCCCAGCTCGGCCACCGTGTATGTCCTGGCCCTGGGGGACCTGGGTCAGAGCCCAAGGGTCCCCCGGGCTCTGCCTAAACTCTAAACCGCGGGGGTTGCCCGTGTCTGCCCCACCCGCGGGGCTGCAGAGCCGCCCACCCAGGACCGAGGCGCTGGGGCAAGCGGGTGCCTGGCAGGGGCATCGCCCACCTCGCAGGGCAGAGGCAGCGGAGGGGAGAAGCCTGAGTTTTCCCTCTGCGATATCGTTGGTGGTGCTGTGCTGTCAGCCCTGGCTCTTTGTTCCCTCTCCTCCCCACCTACCGTACAATCGTCTGACTGTTTCAGGCACGCACAGCTCTGGCCACTCAGCCCCTCCCCTTGCAAAAAACACGAGACCAAAGAAACTCCTCTTCCATCCGCATCCGATGAAAGATGGGGAGGAGACCTTTCCCATGCGGTGCTGGGCTTTCAGCGGTATTTTTCTGCGGGGCTGGAGTATCTCTCTGGCTCCGACCCAGGCCCCGGGCAACGGGGTTTCTGTTGCCAGCTGACCATTCTCTGGTGGCCACGCTGTGTGGTCGCCTTGGGCCGGGCGACAGGGCTTCTGCTGAAACACCGAAAGATGTGGGGGGTGAGGATGGGGGAGAGCAGAACGGGCACTTCCAGGTGGGGGCTCTCAGCCCAGCCGGAGGCCTCGGGGGGCTGATTGCACTGTCCCTCGTGTGCAATGGCCTCAGTGGAAGTATGTGGGCTCAGTCCAGAGGTGCCCGTCTTGTAGCAGCTCAGGAAAGCGCCCGTGTCGTGGGGCAGCCATGCCAGACATCGGGCTTGCTGTCGCAGCCACTTGTCCTTTGCCAGAGGTGGTTCTCTGACCATCACCTCCCTCCCCTGCTCTGCAGCCCCTTCTCTCCCTTCCCAATAGACTTCCAAGCCGCTTCCCTTTAGCGTCACTCCCCCTTCCTCCTCACCCTAAGACTATAGCTCACTCCCCTTCTCACTAAAGACCACCCATTGCCATGGTAACATTGCCTCTTACAAAGTTGTCAAGCAGACACAAAGATACGTTTCTCCCCTGCTTTACAGCCCCCCTTCCCGCCATCCCAGTTAATAGGCCAGGACTTTTCTTGTATGGAGGAGGTGGAGGGCTCTTGCATTTCGTTTTCATTGTGGAGAGAGAGGTTATTCCAACCCCTTTGCTCTGCAAGTGCTGAAGCCTGTGGCCACCAGAGGGAAAGAGCTGTCATTCATGGACCACCTGAAAGCCCTTGAGGGCAATGGTGCCACAGGCGAGTACTGGTAGTGCAGATACTGGCAACATTGGCCCTGCACGGGGAAAGAGCATCTGGAGGTTAGAGGGGACAGGCCCATGGAAGACTTGAAAGACGGGAATTAAGACCTGTGTTTGATCTACTATGATCAGAAAATACCTCTGCTGTGATTCTGTTCTGCTGCTGCCTCCCTAAGCAGATCTGGTTCTCTTCCCAAAATGATTTCTTCAGTTTATGGCGATGTAGATAACCGGCCTGTCTCCGGGACTGCTGGAACCCCTTGCTGCCATTGCTACACCATGGATAGTGTTGGTACTACTTACACGACAGTATCTGCACTGTCAAATTTAATACTACCCTGGATACACCCATGGTTCACGGCAGCTGTGACTATGACTGCACCATAGACAACAGCTTCTACTCGTCAAATCTCTTGTTGACTTTACTCTCTCTTCTCTTCTCTCTTACATACATCTCCCTTTCCTCTCTTGATGGATCTGCCCCAGGCCTTTGCAAACCTGATTAAAACCTTTCCTTCATCCTCCTTCCTGTGGCTTTTCTGTTCTTTCACTTTGTCCATGATGTTCTTTCTACTTGAAATCAGTGAAGGATCTCCCACATCCCCTTGTCTGTTTGTCAGCCTAGTGCCTCCCAATTTATATTTTTTTTTTGTGTAGTTGCTATACCTGCCTGTCACATCTTCACTTACCTCCCTTTAAGCACTCCATAAGTCTTCACCTCTCCCACAGACTCCCCTCCCCTGAACTACCTTACTACCATCACCACTGAACTTTCTGCCCTGACCAGTCTCTACTTCATCCCTCCAACATGTTTGTCTAGAGGTGGATTTGTAGTCCCAGTGCAAAGCCTCGGGCCACTGGGCTGGTGTCAAGCACTGTGACTTACCACACGCTGCTGTAGTGCGTCTGTGCCGGGCTTTTGCACCACAGCTGTGCAGCAGAGCTCGGTGTGAACATCAGGAGCTGTTTGCAAATGTGCTGCTGAAACTGCTGACTGCCCCAAAGCAGGAATACATTTACAGCACCTGAGAACTGGCTTTGAACATTCATATTCAAAGCAAAGGTGTTAAAATAAAATACAATTTTTGAAAGGTAGCTGGCCTAAGGAGAGGGAGGAATGGCATCAATAATGGTTATGCTCTGGCAACCCTGAGACAAAATGGCATATAAAGCAAAGGAATTTTATCTCCTGATATCTTTTGCAGCAAATAAGAGAAACTGAGAGGAAACTAGAATTGATGCCACTAAAATGAAGAAAATTAATAGAAACTGTTCCTGTTACACACCTCTGGACTCATCCCAATATAAGCAACATATTTCAACAAAATAAAAATAACTATGTAAGCATTTCCAGGCTTTAATTATCTTTGACAAACTCCACTGTCAAAGTCCCTTTGACGGACTGCAAATTTTGCATCCTCCTGGACATGAATGAGAATTAGGAGGAATTTTATGGTAAATGAGGCTGTAGCAACAATGGACTTTCCCAGAGGCTGAGAAAAGTCCACAGAGAGGAAAAGCTGCCAAGCCAGAACTGCAAAGGCACCCCTGACCCCACTGCTCTCATCCCTACATGTTCCTTCCCTAGTGAGAAAAACTGTAAACTCAGCAACACCCGTGACAATCAGCAGGGTCAAATCCAAACATGACTTTTGTTTGCAAGTCAGAGCTTGGCCTAAATCCTTCTATGGTCCACCCATGTTCCAGCCATTGTTCTAGTCCAAACATTTACCAGCGTTCCGCTCTAGACTTCTGCTTATTCTCATGGTCCTTTTCTCTAACTGTTCTTTCCATTCCAATTTTTCCTGGAGATCTTGCCAACACTCCACCACACTATGTCAGGAACATCCACTCCATGCTAATTTTACAGGCATGATTCTTTCATTACCGTCTGGTCTCTTTCACTCTGGCATGAAGGCTGGAGCCCTGGCCTTTCTGCAAAAGTCAGGCATTGCCATGCCAGTTTTCTTCTGCCAGGGAGTGCTCCTCTTGTGGGATCTTATTGGAATACCATACCTTAGGTGCGGGGTTCTGGTAAGCACCTTCTACCCTCTCCGTAGTCACAGGACAAACACATACCTCTACAAAAAGCAAGACAGACCTTAGGTGACCTGGATATTTCTCTGGGTGTTCATCTCTCTGCTGACTATAAAGGAAAGCCAAGGCCTTATGAGCCTCCCACCTTGTGTTAAATGGAATGAATTCAAGTCTTTCTGGACACTGTGTTATTTGCTCATTGTAGCTTTTCCTCCTTAATAACAGATAGGCCACAGTCCTGTGAGAAAAGCCTCCCAAGAAACAGGATACCTTTTCTCCCCATCCATATGCCATTGTTGGGCTCTCTAGCCTCTCTAGAGTTCAGCTAGGGGCTGCTCTCCTAGGGCAGTGAGGCTTGCTGTGCTCAGATATAGCTACTGTTTTTTGACCAGAACTAACAGGTCCTGTATTTTATCCAGGTGGGTTCTGTTCCTCCACTCCCCAGCTATAGATTCATTGGAGTAATCCATATTGCTACAAACTCCTCGGATAACTCTCGTGTGCACATAAGACAAGCCCACATCATGCAGTCTCAACCAGAATGTCACAGGCCTCTTCATCAGCTAGGATGAACCAGCACAGTCCCAGCGCCTCCAGAGAGGCTGTGCTGATTTACACCTGTTAAGGAGTCAGCCCCCTTGAGGCAATGCCAGCCCTTAACCACATAGCACAGATCCCCTGAACTGCTTGGAAAGATCACAGTCCCTCTTGGGCTGTCACCTTCACTTCTGATTCCATGTGAAATTCACAGAATCATAGAGCAGTTTGGGTTGGAAGGGACCTTAAAGATGATCTAGTTCTGACCCCCTTTCCATGGGCAGGGACACCTTCCACTAGACCAGGTTGCTCAAAGCCCCATCCAGCCTGGACTTGACCCCTTTCATGGAGGGGGCATTGTTACGGCTGGTGGAAAGCTGCTGTTGTGAAAAGGCACACACTACCCACAATATTATTGCTATCTTTGACAAGCTTGTCCCATCCTATGTTGCTCCTCCAAGCTCCCAACCATGACAAGACACTTGGGCCCCTTCTCTCAGCCTTTTCAGAGCTACCCTGGGTATCTGCAGAGCTGCTGGGTAAGAAGCAGCATAAAACATTCAGCCATCACTAGGCAAAAAAAGTATGTCATGCTCTGCAGGAGGGAAACCATTCAGCTGGTGTGTGGTGGCACCCCCCCAGCATGGAAAGGCTGCACATCCAGCACAGGAAAACCTGTCCAGAAGAGCAGTGTTTAAAGACCAGTGACTTCTGATCCTTTTCCCTATCACCTCCTCCTATCCCGTATCGGTGACTTCCCCAAGAGCTGCTTCTTCTCCTCTACCTTTCCTTCTCCTCTTATGCACAGACCAGCAAAAGGCAGTGGACTGTCCAAGAGTTAATTCAGTAAATTGATCCTCCAGGCGAGGTCAGATCATACCTGTTTCCTGAGCACATTTTTCATTGGCTTATAAAATAATCATTTGGCTTGTTCTGATCTCCATGGCAGGTGCATCTCCGAACAACATGAAAAGATTTCAAAATCAGGATGTGATACTGTTCCTTCTATTCTCCTCCTCACACTGAAAGAGGCCAAAAGATTCTGTCTGTTCCCAGGCATAATCTCTTCAAATATCTAATTAGAAATTATATGGATAATGGAGACTTTTCTGTAGGTTCACAGCAGAAGAGCAAGGAGCAACAGAACAAGTTGTAGCAAGAGAAAATATAATTAGATATTAGGAAACATTTTTTTCACAATGAGGGTGGTCAAACACTGGAACATGTTGTCCAGAGATTGTGTAATGTCCAGCCCTGGAAATCTTCAGAGTTCAACTGGACAAAGCCCTGAACAACTAAATCTAGCATTGAAGGTTGATCTAACATAAAGATTGGCCATGATTTGAGCAAAGGCTTGGACCAGATGACCTCCAGAGGTGCCTTCTAACCTAAATTATTATATGAGTTATGAATTTGTAATTGCAGGAGCTGGGTGTGCTTCCCTTTGCCACAGTCCCCTATGCAGCACCTTGCAGCAACTTCA